ATAACACAAAAATAAGGTTTTTCTTTCCAAAATGGAAATATTTTTGCTCAAATAGGAGCCTCGATCTCTCACTAAAGAAGGGATGATTAGTTACATATGTAAACTTTTTTTTACCAGCTAGGACACATAATTTGGTGAAAAATTGAAAATTGTACAACTTTTGATAATTAAAATATAAAAATCTCATAAATGTTCCCAGAAACAGTATTTTACATTAATTAGAAATTCTAATCAGATATTAATTTTAAAGAAATTTTGAGAAATTGCAATGCATTTATTTTTATTCAAAGAAATAAATCATCGGTTTTGAAGAATTAAATCATCAATTTTCTAACATAAAGATACCACCTATCCCAAAGAAATTTATTTTTTTACAGTCTTGAACTTTGGCAGGCTTGATGGTGCTATGTGGGTATTTCTTAGTCACATATGCATAAAATATTATAATTACTTTTGGGAGAAGGGAGGGAAAAGAAATTCTAACTGACATAGACTTTATTGTTTCATCAGGATTTTTTTTTATATTATTTTAACTGGCAAACTTTAAAATATTTTTTCATTATAGGTAGATAAAGTCAGCAGTTATGCTTTGTAGTTTTCTACTATAACGATCTCCTTGGATTCCGATTTTATGGTTTGGTTATAATTTAGTTGTCTTTAATTTATGTTTTCAATAAAATGACAAACAATTATCCCCTTAATCTATGTGTTTCACCTTGCGTACGCCTTAAAACTGAAAAGATAATCCCCTAATTAATTGCCCCATGCTATAAGCTACCTGCACCTGGACGACTCCGTGCGTTCAAGCGTGAAGTGATTTCCTGTGGCTAATTAACCATGTTAACACCTAAATAAACAATGAAACTTATCTGTGTGCATTGAATAAACAAGTCTGATATTGTTGTCCAAATTGACAAAATTCAGCGGTATAGGGAAACTTATAAAATCGGAAATTTTGGGTGAATTTTTACAAATCGGAAAATTAGGTCAATTTTTCTCTCCCGATCGGGAAGGCGGGATGAAAGGGTAAAATCGGGAGAATCCCGCCTAAATCGGGAAAGTTGGCATGTAAGTGATTCAGGTAATGAATAAAAAAACGTGAAATATCAGATACATTTGAATCCAAAATGTTTCAAGTTGACCGTAAGTTTTGCTTCACTTGACAAGGGAATCTGTACTGATTGTGTTACAGGAGGAGAGATTTTTGTTTCCCATTTACCCACTCCTAGCATTACAGGGAGCTGTCAGCATTGATTATTTACAGGTACTTGTATTATCATGATCATTAATGACCTTTGTTTAAAAAATCAAGCTGTCAGGTTGGAACTTGAAAACAGTATGCTCCTAATAGATCTCAACCACTGAAAAAATATATATATTTGGAATTTTTCTTTGTATGTTGTGTGATTTCAGAAATTGTGCTGTTATTTACTACCCAGACAGAAGGGCAGTCACTACACAGATAAAACCAACTGGATTCCTGTCTGTCTGTGTGTCCTGTTTAGTGCTCTGTCATTCTCACGAATCATTGCAGTGTATCAGGGTATGTACATGTATGTCTGTTTAATACAACTGTATTGTTTGTGTCCCTGTGGTATATGAAGAGTTATTTGCCCCTTATTGTGTTGATTTTTCCCTTATCAAGAAAATATATAGTACAAACTATTGCTGCATGAGAAAACCATTTATTGGGCATTTTTCAAACTCTCATCATCTATTTATCAATACTTTAACTCCAACTTTTCCATTCTTACATCTTTATATAAGTTTACAATCGCATCATCTCAAGCCAATCTGAATCTATCGGTTTTGTGACCATTCTATTTCCATTTTTTATTGAAGAAGAATGGACGCAAAACTTGTTGTCTGAAAGGATGGGTTCTTTGTGTCAAGCAAAAGTGTGTATTATGGTTATAAAGGTTCATCATAATGACTCGAGATTTAAATTACAGGTTACCATGCACCATTAGATATTTATGTGGAGCTGAATAAAATTTCTGCTGATCCCAAAATCCACACGCTACCTCCAGAAAAATCTGTCAATGTTTGTGTAGGAAAAGAGTGGTACAGATTCCCAAGCAATTTCTTTCTTCCTGGAAACAAGTGAGCCTTTCACTTTAATTGTTTTCATTTTAAGAATATCAGAGAGAGAGAAATATCTGTTTTTAAACTATAACCAGAGACATAATTTATATGTCTCTGCTATAACCATTGCTAAGTACATATAGGTACATTGTAAATTTAACTTTGAAGCTGGAATCTTCTGTTCCTGAGGTCAGAGTTCAGAGGTCAACTGCCAAAGCCATACAGCAGTGGGGAGGATGCTACTAGAATTCTGCCATCAGACATGAATGACCTCAACAAAGAAGAAATGTCCAGATATGTAAGTGTTTTCTACTGCATCAAAAACAGAACAAAATAATCAGCAGTAGTAAAACTGCATCAGGTTTGTTTCATATTGTAAATTGTCCTTTGTGATAGGTGTACATTGTTGTAATTTTATTTCAGTTTTGGACTTCTTTGGAGACAGCATTGTGTTGTATATTTGTTTTAACTAGATACAGTAAAACTCGGTTATAACAAACTTTACAAAGTCACTGGGACCTATGAAAATATTTCGCTATATCCGTAATTTGTTATATCCATGTAAGAAATCTGTTAAATTTATATAGCTTGGGATCCAAGATAACTTCACTATATCCGTGAATTCGCAATATCCATGTTCGTACTAACTGAGGTTTACTGTATAACAAGAAATGAAATGCAAGTAGTTTCTGAAGTTTGCTTTATTAATTAATTTTTCTCCAAATATCATACAGTGACACATGTAATCTGATAGTAATTTTGAGACAGTCAAGCTGGTTCATTCGTCAGTGGTCTGAAAGTTAACTATACTGCACCTGGGCCACCAGTTCAAATCCCAGTTTGATCTGTCACAATTCCTCCCATTTCATCACAGTAACATTTAATTCCAAATTTGTTTTCTTGTTGACAGTCAAATATCACTAGATGTCATTACCTGATAGATCTTGACACCCAGACAGACACAAAATATGAACCGAACTATTCAGCTAATACAGAGGATTGGACCATACTTCATTCAGTGCCATTTTTAGATGCAAGCAGGTAGGTAGAATTTGTTGACTTGTGGTGAGACAGGGATGTGATGCCCTAGCTTTCTTTTGTTTTGATTACAGTTTTCACTGCCAATAATCATGTCTTTTTCTTGAAAAGAATGAATAGATTAATTTTTTTCTACATAAAACAATCCTCAGATTTCTGAACTCTTTTAAGTGGAATTTACATTACATATTCATGACAAGTCACAACTTTCAAAAACAATGTTTTTTTTTATATATGTTTACATACAGTTGAACCATCTTACCTCAAAATTGATATATTGTCAGTTAACATTATGTTAATAGCATTAACAGTCCCTTTGAGTTGGAGATAACTAAGTTTGACTGTACTTGTGCAAATTATGATAACTCTAGAAAATGAATCCTTATATCTCTTTTTCTCTCTGTCTTTCAGATCTCACCGAATCCTGCGGGCGTTCTACATTCCTTTTATATCTGGTAGATACTGTACATATATTAATTATAATTTATTAAAAACTACAAGGACTAGAAAAAATACTGCTCATAGAAATATATAAATATGCATGTGTTCTAATAGCTATCATCAGTATTAAAACTTTTCAAATTTGACACTTAGTTTTGTTTTTTATTATATGAAGTACAATGATGTACAGTGTTTATGAGAGTAAAAATTGATATTTGAGTTGATTCCAAGAAGATGTATAAAATTGTAACACATGTAACCGTGGTCAGTTTGGAGAATTGAAGGGGGGTGGGTATTATAAGCAAACTCAGAAATCTTTTAGTGATGTACAATGGAAGTAAAAAAAAAAGTCATATTTTACGGCAATTGTATATTGTTCCCTGCTCTCATGAAGTGGTGGATATTAATTCTGGTCTGTCTGTCAATCCTTCCCACAGGGGCCGGTAACATACTATATGTACCTGAGCAATATCTCATGAAGCTATTTGCAATGAAATTCTATATATATTGGTATCACTCCCTATGGCCCCACCTGCCCTTCTTAAAGTGTCAAACCCACCCTCACCCCCCTTGCATGCTCTTTTTTCCTTAAGCAGGGACACAGACTATCTGAAATAGCTTGTTAATTATTTTTTTGGTTGTCAGTGAATTGAAATATCATTCATGAAATATGAAAGCCCTATAGCTAGCTCTAATTAATCAAAAGTCATGACCAAGAGCAACGTTTTCAAAAGTAAGATAAACTGCAAGCTAGGTCAAAGAAAAGGGTCAAAATTATTGGTACCCAAGAGGAGGTCTTGTCACAAGAGACAAGTCCATGAATTATGAAAGCTATAACACTTACCATTATTCCTTAACAGTGATATATATAGTATTTTGTATATGTAAACAGAATCCAATCCTAGGTGAAGTAAATGTAAAGACACCACTGTTATTTGCCTCTCCCATTACCCCCCCCCCCCCCCCCCCAAAAAAAAAAATCATTCACCAGTCATCAAAATGTTCGTTGGTTTTCAGGAAACAACAATCAGTAATCGGTGAATTGCATCTTTCCTGATTCATAAAAAGTCCCTTGTTTGTATAGGACATTAATCTACAAAAGATACTTATTGGATAATTATGCTCTTCATATAGAAGGTGCTTAATTTGGGCCATATTGTACACGTGTAGCTAGAGAAGTGACATAGTTTTATTTCAACTTAAGTTGAAATCTAATTCTTTTCATCACAAACCTTCAGTATGATGTCATTAAATGTTCATGAAGCAACTGGGTGTCATTCATATTTCTGGTATTTTTCTGCGTGCATGCATTCATTTAGTGCAGTGACAGATCTAAGATTCTTTAAATTTTGGAGGAGATGAATTTCGAATTCTTATCTTTTATACAAAGGTAAAAATTGCAGACCAGTATTCAATAACAAAAAAATAAATACAGATGAGATTTCAAACACAAATTTATCTTTCCAAGAAATGTAATGGTGTGCACAAATGATATATTCGTCTACTAGTATATTCAACACACTTTACATTGTACAACTGTATTCTGCAAAATCTTGACTAGCTGACATCTAATTTTACTTATTCAGAAAAAAATAACAACAATGCAATAAATTCTACTGTTTAACTTTAACAAAGTCATATTGCCTTCATTTGGAAACAAATACTAAAGCTTTCATCACTGGGAGACGAATAAACATGTGTTTCTTTCATAAATACATATAGATGTACAGGCCTTTTGAATCAGTATAAATAGTTACACTTTCAAGGAAAGTTTAATCTGTTCAACAGATTAATTTAGATATCAAATTGGCATATCACAGCCCGCATGAAATCCACCAAAGATATATTTTTTCACTGTCTTGGTGTGAGGGGAGACAACCAGACCTAGTCCCTGGGTTGAAGGGTCCTGGGATAGAATCCAGGCCAGTGTGTCAGACACGGGGATACATAAATTTGACACAAACATGGAAATAAGGTACATTAATTTTTTAACACAATGTTCAAATGATCAGGCTATTAACTGGGTCCTGCCAGCAGTCTTTGAAGGTCACATAGTACGTCCTTGACCTGCACTCTCTCCCTTTTCCTGTCCTTCAGACAGCGGAGGGCTATGTGATAGAGGTCGTCTGCCGTCTGATGACACCAAGGTCCTGCGCTGTGGTCCAGGAGTTGGGCGATACTGTCCTCAGCGTTCTCCAATACATGGCTATATAGGTCAGTGTCCTCACGACTGTTATCACTGGGTGGCAGACCCGTTAAGATCTCTAGTAACACCACTCCAAATGCAAAGGAGTCCAGTTTAGCTGAGATGTCAAACCTGATGGCCTCTGGGGCCATGTATGCTGAGGTTCCTATCACTAGTTTAGTTGAGGCCACAGTGGTACTGCTGCCAGAGGGTGCCAGCCGTGCTGTGGCAAAGTCACCAACTTTTGGCCCAAATTTTTCATCCAGTAAAACATTTGCACTTTTTATGTCCCTGTGAACTAACCCATTGTCATTCAGATACACTATTCCTTTGGCTGTGCCGTATGCAATATCAAGTCTTAACTGCCAGGACAAGGGAGGGGTCCCATTCAGACAGTGAAGTCGATCCTCCAGAGAGCCATTGGGCATGAATTCATAAACTAAACATTTCTCAGGGCCGTCAATGGAGTACCCAACAAGCTCGACAATATTTTCATGATGATAAGCAGCTAATGTTTTCAGTTCTGTTTCAAACTGCTTAAGCATCACTGGATCTTCAGGATCCTTAAGTCTCTTGACAGCCACAACATAGTTATTTTGAAATCTGGCTTTATACACAGTTCCAAACCCTCCCCTTCCTATAACACTGCCCCCTTGTGAAGCAGGTCTCTCATCAAAGTTGTTGGTGTGAAACTGGAGCACAGAAAAGTTAATAGCTTGAGATCCGGGTCTGTAGACTGTTGATAAGGGCTTAGATGTGTGTCTGTCTGTGGATACTGAACAAGGCGGGGCATTCAGATCAGGTGTTCTCTCTCCACTATCATAAGACTCGATTCTGTTAACCAATACTCTGTCCTCTGAACATTCAGAAGGCGTGCGATGGTTTAACGAGCTGGAGCCTTCTCTGGTAAAGTCCTCACTACTATAACTTGTCCGTGTGTCACCGTCTGTGGTACTGTCTGGTAGAACTGGGGCTGAATCGGGCATCTTAGCTTTATTGTATAGTTCCCTCTTTTCAAAGCTTCTGTTCTCCAGATTTTTCTGTTCATTAGGAGTAAGTGAACACGGTCCCACTGGTGATAAGATAGGTTCATCTTCTCGCGGTACTGGGCTGCCTTTGAGCTGAACAACAGCTAGATAGTCTGCAGCTGCATACAGCCGAGCTTTTGTCAAGGCTTTGATGAGATGTTTCACTCGAGCATTTTGTGTTCCCCAGTCTTCAAGAATGATTCTGAAATTATATAAGCATCATGTAAGTTAAATGAAATTTCAGATGTTCAAATGAATGAATACATAAGGCAGATTAATTTAATAATTGACATATTGTAGAAAGGTAAACTACTGTAGGCATCATGTGATTATATGTACATGCAGTCCTCAAGTTCTTGAAATATATCTAACCAATGCAATGCACTCAGCGTAACTGTGTTATACTGAAGTAACTGAAATAATATTTCCCATTTTAAACATACTCTCATTTATTTCCTGTAAATTATGTGACATGATGACTATAAAACATTTAGTCAGCTATCTTGAACAGTTGCCATATCATGCAATTTGCAAATATAGGCAATATATCGACATTACTTTGAAGTGTGCATTTCTGTATTACCTAGTGGCATAGGTGCCAGGCTTAGCTGCTCTGCTCTCGATCATCTTGGCCTGAGATGTACTGTACCGCTCCTCGAAATTCTCGTCATCCAGTCGTTTGGGGACATGACATAAAAACCTCTTCCAAAGCTGATCAGGTTCTAAGAAATTCACGATCTTGAGTATTGCAGAGTATGGTAGCTTGCGGATATAAGTTTCCGCAGTCACTTCATTCGACATCACTGATTTTTAATTTTGATTTTCTCTGTTAAAATAACCTAAGTAAGTTAATTATTGCTATCACGTTCTTTACCCGGAAGTCACTTACATTATGGGAATTCCAAATTGACGTCAGAAATGAAAATAAACCAATCGGAATGTTGTGTTCCCAAAATAGATTTACAGATGGTGGTTAAGATTTTATATAGTGATAAACAGACTCAGTAGCCGACTTTTTTGAAAAAGTAATATACGGTACTAAGTTTTTTCAGTATGAAAAGATAAAAGCGTTGAATCGTTAAAAAATCAACTCATCTGTTCTTGCTCTTACAGGAAAGAGGTATGTAGTCAGGATGGCCGAGCGGTCTAAGGCGCTGCGTTCAGGTCGCAGTCTGGTTCTCCAGGCGTGGGTTCGAATCCCACTTCTGACACTAACATTTTTTTATAATGGTATTAAATCCTAAGATGTGTATGTAGAAAAGTATTTACCATATACACTGTATAGTTATTCAAAAACTTTCATTTGTTAAAATTAATGTAAAATACTTCCAATATTTTTTGAGCCGCTTTATATATATTCATGATCGAATTAGGTTAGTAGCAATAGTGTGCTATTGCTATATCTTTTTGAAAGATCTCAAACCATGTACACTTCTTGAAATTTTATTCTTAGAATGCAATAAAAAAAATCATACGTTGTGTTCTTTTAGCAGTTGCAAAAAAATCATAAGTATGTATTTTTTATGATTCATTTGCAAGATACTGCATGGGCTTCATAGCACGCGTATATTTTGCTTAGGACTATTTTAAAGAAAATAAATAAATATTAGATTTTTTTACCCGTCGAAGTTTTTGAAGAGTTAGAAACATAAATTATGGGATAGGAGAGAGGCTTAAAAAGAATAGTAAAGGTGGTTGCTATACATCTTCCCTAGCCAAGGGTTTGTGATACGCTGCTCTCCTCTTTATGAGGAGAGTAGCGTATCAGAAGCCCTTGGCTAGCGAAGATGGTTGCAATAAAAAAAATTGCATGTCATGTGTAACTTGAACTAACTTCATGTGCTACATACACGTAGTTGTTAAATGTTAAACCAATGTTAAACCAAAAAAAATTAAGATGCCCCCGTATAACCTAGCAAAGGTTAAACTTTCTCAAATGCAGATCAAATATATTGGTAGCTAAAGTAAGGCCTTTTCACAAGAAATACAAATGTGAAATATAAAACCCTAGCACCACCTGTTCAAAGGTTATGACCAAGGTTAACGTTTTTAAAGGCAGGACAAACTTCGGGGTCAAGATCAAAGGGTCAAGGTTGTTGGTTTCTAAACATAGGCATTGTCTCAAAGATTACATATGGGAAGTATGAAAGCACTGGCCCTTACCGTTCAAAAGTTATGGCCAATGTGAAAGTTTGTAAAAAATGGGTTAAACTCCAAGGTCAAAAGGTCAAAATTGTTGATTTCAAATGAATGGTCTTGCCACAAAAAATTGATATTTGAAATATGAAATTCCTAGTAACTACATTTAAAAAATTAGAGCCAAAGTAAAAGTTTGGATTTTTTTGTAAAACTGGGTCAAACTCCAAGGTCAGGGTCAAAGGGTCAAGGTTCTTGATATCAAATGAAAGGTTTGTTACAGGAATTAAATATTTGAAGTATGAAATCCCTAGTCATAACCCTTCAAAAATTATGGTCAAGGTTGTATTTTTAAAAGTAGTTCAAACTCCAAGGTCAAGGCCAAAGGGTCAAAATTGTTGGTATCCAATGAAGCGTCTTTTCACAAGGATTACATATGTGAAGTATGAAAGCCCTAGCTCTTACCGTTCAAAAGTTATGGCGAAGGTTAAAGTTTTCTCATAAGTACGGAAATCTCCAAGGTCAAAAGGTCAAAGTTGTTGGTAAGCAATGAAATGTCTTTCCACAAAATATATATACATGTATATATGACATGTAAAAGTCCTGGTATCTACTGTTCAAAAGATATGACCAAAGTAAAAGCTAAGATTTTTTGTGTAAAAATGAGTCAAACTCCAAGGTCAAGGTCAAAAAGTTAAATTTGGTGGTACCCAGAGAAAGGTCTTGTCACAAGGAATACGTACACGAAATATAAAAGTCATAGCTCCACTAAATCAAAAATTATGGATAAAGTTTTTGCGGACAAACAGACAGAGAGAGAGAGAGACAGACAGACAGACAGACGGATGTACACGACAAAACTGTATACCCCCGAAACCTCGTTAACGGGGGCAAAAAAGAATGTTTCTTACCTACGACATGTTATAATGCGTACATGAGATCTAGCGTGCTGAGTCATTTTTGCGGTGATTTTGTGTTTGAAGTGTTTTTTAGAACCTAGCTACAACATATCAGAAAGAAAGAATCTTAATAATGTCATGTTGTGTTAGAAAGAAAGACTAATGAATTTACCGAGTGGCAGTATGGAGAAAATTTTTAAAACATGGCATTTTGTAATATTTGCAATAACTTCCGCCACCCGGTAATTTACTGTCAAAACTGTAGTTATACATGTCAGATGCATAACTTAACTATAAAAAAGATAAAATTATTATTTTTAAAAAATCGCTTGTGAACGAAATGCCGTCCAGACGGGAAGATCTGTTCAATAAAAACTTTAAAATACAAAGAAAACATTTTCTTTGTGATTTTTTTTTTTTTGATTTTTTTTTGGCAGGTGCGCGAGGTTTGGCTATAGACAGAACGTCAGTAGTGCAGACGATGAAGGCAAAGAAATTGCTCTGTCTCTTCCTCTTCGACAAAATGTCGAGGCTCTTCGATGTATGAACAGTTTAATTGTAGTTTTGTTTACGATCAAAACAAATAAAACCACCAGAATTGGCTCAATTATTTGTTGTTCTATCACGGCTTTCGATGATCCCAGCACCCCAGAACTTATACATCTCAATAAGCTTGCAGTACACATCTAATTGTCTGTTTTTCTGATTTCTTCCACTTCATCAACAAAAAGGCGGACAGTCGTCTCCACGCGGAATTTCAATTTTAAACGATTTCGACGCAAAAAGCAGAGCCCATACCCACTGACACCTTTAAACTATAGTAGCAAACTTAATGTTTAGACTAGTATATAAGCAATCGGTTGTTCAAATTCGCAACCTTCTTGGGCAAATTAGTTTATATGCTACATCCAGATTGGATTATCCCCCTTTGGCAACATCAAACTTATCATTCGAACACGCTTTGGGGTAAGTAATGGTTATTAATGTGCAATTCAGAATATGTATTTACAAAGTGCAAATTAACGAAAAATAGCAATGTTATGTTTTTTATTTTCCTTTTCTTACATTATTTTTTATATGATAACTTCTGAGAACTTTTTTATCTTGTTTTTGTTGTGTAGTAACCCCCTTTTTTTACAAAATATTTTAACAGAGTTATGTCTCTTGTTGTGTTTTAATTGGCGACGCCTTATTTTTATTTGCATCGAACAAATACTAGACAAAACTGACATTTTAATAGATAAAAGTTCGTCTGACGTAATTCAATCTAGCCAGACTGCCGGTCTGTCGAACCGGTTGGGGTCGCCGCTGTTCCCACACCCTCCTAGCCGGTTATTAGTCTGCGCCAAACTACTGAGTGCGCCTGGATACGATCGAAAGCTTTTCATTTTTGGACTTTCTTGTTCTAAAGACGTGTTTATAGATGTCGTAATACAAGCTGGATATGGTCAGAGCGACTACAGATCGCCAATTATATCGGCGTCCGTAAAGGGCAGTGCGGCAAAATAAACATTAAGGGGACATCAAAGAGCGCGTGGTATTTTGTGTACATATGTACAAACACTGACTATATATATAATACACTAAAACTTTACCGGCATTACAATGATGACGAGAAATGTTGGAGACATCATGAGATATATATATATCGTTTTTGTTTACTTTTTTCATTCAATTGGGCGTATTTTTCTTTAAATGACAATTTTTACTTTCAATTGAACCAAAATAAAAAATCAAAATAACAGCATAAATTTTTCAAGCGATAAAAAGTTTGATATATATACCTAAGTGGGTATTTTAATTTTTTTTTTAATTTGCATTTTTGTAGATTACCACATGCAGTAATTTATGCATCAGAAAGCATCCGCGAATTTTATCATTTTTGAAATTTAAGTAGGCCTGTTTTTCTCTGCATTGGATGCTATTGTATAGGACAAATTAATATTTGAAAATTTTCATCATGTTCTCCCCCAAAATTAAAGTTTAATACATCTTCCATCTTCCCGACCCTCTCTCTCTCTCTCTCTCTCTCCAGAATAATTAAAGTGCTGAATAAAAAATGTGAACAATGTTGATTTTTCTCTGACGCCTATCTCACACAATTATTCTATCAGTTATTTTCATCGTAAAATAATGTCAAGGCTTCCTTTTGCAAAATCACAGAAGGGTGATACGTTGTTTGATGAGTTAATATATGTCGGTATAGGTGTCGCAATATCACACGGTCATCAGTGACGTATTCCGCACTATAATGGCGGTAAGATCTCTCTAGTCTGATGACAAAGGGGATAATAGTCACAAAATGACTACTTAAACCATTATAAAAGATTAACAGATTAAAGGAATCGTTCTTATCTATAGTGTAAATCTAAAATAGTAAAACGTAACACTAACATTCCACACCCGGAAGGAACTCTAAAGCGATAAGTTTGTGAAAAAAAATATTTTACCGACATTAAAAAGTGCAAATTGGAGAAAATATGCCGTAAGCTTAAAGAGTTCACCAATAGTTTCCATCTGTTTTGATGGTAAAATTAATAATTTTCAGGTGTATTCACAATGGCAAGGACTTGTGAGTACATACCATCCACAAACTCTTTAAAAATGAAAGGCATACAAGTTTTTCCTTTGTCCCTGTAAATATCTTGTTTGTGTACTAGCTACTACATGTATCTGAAGTTATTATTTTTCATAGGTGCATGGAGGAAACCATTAACACCCCACCCCGGGGATATACTCGAAATGTTTTCATGTCGGTAGTTTTTAGCTCACCTGAACTGAAAATTTGAGCTTTTTTGAACACTGTTAAACTTTTTCACATTTTCAATTTCTTTTCAAGATCCACTGGACCAAATTTAACCAAAACTGGAACATTGCATTCTATCTTAACTTGACTTTACTTGAGTTATTCCTGTTCACTCCTTGGGGAGCATCAGACTGTTTTGGGCTATCCTTTTTAGTTGGGTCTAGGTAAATCCAGCTTCTTTTGCTTCCATTTCTATAGATCTCCTCCAGGTTTGCCTTGGTCTCCCAACCCTCCTCTTTCCTTGTGGATTCCAATCCAGAGCTTGTTTCGTGGTGTTGTTTGAGGGTTTGCGTAAGGTGTGTCCTATCCAGCCCCATTTTCTTTTCTTGATGTCAATATCTATAGGATTTTAGTTGGTTCTCTCTCATAGACTGTTGTTTGATATGGTGTCAGGCCATCTGATGTTAAGGATATGGCGGAGACATTTGTTGATAAAAGAATGTAATTTGCTGTTTATTGTTTTCGTAACTTTCCAGGTCTCGGAACCATACAAGAGAACTGCTTTAACATTTGTGTTAAAAATCCTGATTTTGCTGTTGATGGAGAGCGCTTTAAAATTCCAGATTTGTCTGAGGGTGTGGAAAGCATGTCTTGCCTTATTAATTCTGCTTTTGACGTCATCATCTCCTCCACCATCCTTGTTTACAGTACTCCCAAGATAGGTGAATCTGTCAGTTTCTTTGATGTTTTCCCCATTTAATTGAATTGGAGTCTCTCGTTTGTTGTTAATTCTCATCACCTCGGTTATCTTGGTATTTCTTTTGGGCTTCTGATGCCAATCTTGAAAGTTTTTCTTGAGCTTCTTGTAGGTTGTGCGCGAGCAGGTCAATGTCATCTGCAAAATCCAGGTCCTCAAGCTGTTTTGTGAAGGTCCACTGGATTCCATTTTTACTGCCCTTTGTTGTTTACTGCATGATCCAGTCAATGACTATCAGAAATATGGTAAGTGAAAGGTTGCAGCCCTGCCTTACTCCTGTTTCCACATTGAAAGGATCTGTGAACTTCCAATTATTGATGATATGACAGGTGGCATCGTCATACAAATTCTTGATGATACTTATGAACTTTGATGGAATTCCATAATGCCTCATTAATGTCCAAATGGTTGACCTATCCACAATGTCAAAGGCCTTTTCAAAGTCCACGAAGATTGAGTAAAGAGGGGACTGCCATTCAATGGACTGCTCAATGATAATGGGTAGTGTGGCAATATGATCTGTGCATGATCTGACCTGGCGAAACCTTGCTTGTTCTGATCTTAGCTTCTTGTCCAATGTTTCATTCTTTCTAACATTATTCTTGTTAGGATCTCTTACTGGCAATGAACAAAAGCATGATGCCTCTCCAATTTCCACACTGCCGGGGTCTCCTTTCTTACTTAGTTTAACCAGGTAGCCTGTTGTCCACGTATCTGGTACCTTTTCCTTTTCCCATATTGTTTTGCAGAAGTGGTTGTAATATCTCTGCTGACTTAGTTGGAGTAGCTTTGAATGCCTCAGGAGGGATACCAACTGGACCAGCTGCTTTTCCATTTTTCAGTGTCTTTATAACCTTTGTGATTTCTATTCTAGATGGTGGTCATGCATTGATGTTAAGTTCTTTTTTCATTGGTGGTATATTTGCAAGACTGGGTTGTGGTGGTCGATTTAGAACTTCTTCAAAGTGCTCCACTCATCTAGCTCTTCGTCCTACATCACTAGTAATAATTTTGCCTTGTTTGTCCCTCACTGGGCAGTTGGTGTTTACATTTTTCCCCGAAAGTGTTCTGGTTATTTCATAGAGCTTTTTTATGTTGTTCTCTCTGCCTTCTCTCTCTGCGTTTTCAGTAATGTCATGGACGAACCTAGCACTCTTTTTGATTTGTTTGTTTGTTTCTCTGTATTCTGTTTTCAGTTTCTTCATTTATTGAGTATTCTTACATTGGTTTATTTTTTGCTTTAGCTCTTTCCTTTCTTCCACTTTTGACCATGATCTTGCTGACATCCTCTCTTTGTGCTCGCTCGTTTTCTTTCCTATGATTTCAGAGCATGCACTTTTCCAAGTGTCTTGGAGCTTTACCCAATGATCTTCTATGGTTGTGTTTATCAGACACTCTTAGACTATGCTTCAAACTTGCAAAATTTGACCACACTCCAAAATTGGCCATAACTTTTGATTAATTTGGTGCTAGAGCTTTCATACTTCACATGTGTATTCATTTTGATAAGACCTTTCCTCGGGTATAAAATGTTGACCTTAGTCCCGCTTGTAAAAATCTTTAACCTTGGCCATAACTCATGAACATTTAGTACTAGGGCTTTCTTGTTTAAGAAGTGTATTACATTGGACCTTCAGATATCCGGACCCCAGATATCCGGATGCTTCAGTATCAGGACGATTTTTCATCAGGACAGAATTTTTAAATGTTATATTGTTTTGTTTAACTGGTGATTCAGGTATCCGGACGCTTCACATATACGGACAAATTCACTAGCAACCAAAGCGTCCGGATAATTGAGGCTCCACTGTACTTGCAACATGACCTTCCTTTTGGTACCAGTACTTTTGGTCTTTTGACTTTGACCTTGAAGTTTGAACTTCTATAGAAAAACTTATATCTTGGCAATAAAGGACAAGAAAGGGTAAGACCCCTTATTGGTCCCTGATTTTGGGTTCCTTCAGAATGATGCAACAGTTTATCCATAAAACCTGTTGTCACCCCTGCCATAAAATGAGTATTAATTAATTAAGTTTTGAAATACACAGAGGTCACAAAGAGGTCAGAAAATAGGTCAATTTTTGATTTTTTCATATTTCATACACCAGTATAATATGTAGTTTATGTGTAAAGATCTCAGATAGGCAAGCGTGTGCTCTATGTTTTGTGAAGAGAAAAGTATCTCAAATATGATGAAATTCCACCAGAATTGAGACAATTAGGGAAAATGTCCTACTTCTGCACCCTCTAGTAGATTAAATGTAAGCACTGAATCCAAATTAGTGCTGGTTTTAAAACAAGTATCATTTTAGCTTCTCAACTACAAACTATCACAATTTTAGGATTGTTCTGATTTTTTTTTTCTTGTCCTTTTGAACACTTGGTGCTAGGGATTTTACGTTTCATACGCGTATTTCTTGTGACAAGTCCTTCCCCTGGGTGTAATTAATTTTGAAATTTGACCTTGACCTCGGAGTTTGACCCACTTTTTAAAAACTTTCAACTTTGACCATAACATTTGAACAGTTGGTGCTTAGGCTTTCATATTCCACAGGTATATTCACTGAGAATCATGTCCTTTCTTTGTTTAACGATATTGACCTTAGAGTTTAGAGTTCGACTTGCAGTCGTGAAACTTAAGTCAAAGGGGTGGGGGTGGGGAGCATCAGTTCTAGTGTTTCGCAAAGAGATTTTATCTTAATTTGGATGGACGACCAGATGCTAAGCCTCCCCCACTTTTTTGGCAAAGATAGACATAATATATAACATGGAAACTGAACCTTAGCAAAATACTGATACATAATAGATACCTAACCTTAGCATTAAACGGATACTTTATATAAATAGTAAACAGATACTTTACCAAAAAATTATGCAGGATACTTAACCCAAGCATAAGATGGATACTAGTACTTAACCTAAACATTAGAAGAAAACAGAACATGGGCATTAAACGGATACCGAACTTTAGCATTTAGCACACAGGCACCTGACGTTACTTTTTTTCTTTTAATAAAAAAAAAATATACCCTTACCTTATAAATAAGAAACGTCAGGTGCCTGTGATTTAGCAAGACAAGTACTTAACCTTAGCATGTACATGTATTAGACAGATGCTTTACCTAAGTATTTGACAGAAACTTATCCTAAACCTTAGTTAGATACTAAACCTAAGTATAAGATGGATATTCAGACTAAGCATTAGACAGACACTTTTCCTAAACATTACATCTATTCTTAACCTTAGCATTAGATTAATATTTACCATAAGTATTAGACGAATACCTATCCTAAGCAATAAACGGGTGCTTAAAGTTTTAGACAAATACTTGTACTTGATTCAAAGCATTAGACAGATACTTAATCAATAAATTAGATGTACACTAAAACTAAGCATTAGACAGATTATTAACTAAGCATTAAGAGAAAATTAACCTAAGCTATAGACGATACTTAACCTAAGCATTTGACAAATATTTAACCTAAGCATTAACAGATACATATCTTAAGGAATTTCCACCCTCACAATTTTATGGGTTCAAAGTACAAAAACTGCACTTATTTTCATTCCATATACAGTGTACTTTAAACTTTCCATTTATTGCAAAAAATGTATAGGTCACCATATTATTTAAGATGCGAAACATAAATAAACAGAAGTGTATGTCAACATAAAAAATCTATTATAAAGCATTCTTCCAAGAGATATTTTTCTATAAGGTATGAATTTTAACTAATTACAGTTTTTGCAAAAATCTATGACATCATAGGAGGGTGGAATTACCTTAAGCATTAACAGATACTAGACCTAGCAATTAACAGATACCTAAGTTCAGTAATAGACAGATACATAAACTAAGGTTAGATATATACTTAACCTAAGCATTAGACAAATACTTAACCTTAGCACTGGACAGATACTTAAACTAAGCATTAGACAGATACTTATTGAAGCATTAGACAGATACTTAACCAAAGCATAAGACAGATACTTTAAAGCTTAAGCACTGGACAGATACTTAACCAAAGCATTAGACAGATAATTAATTGAAGAAATAGACAGATACTTAAACTAAGCATTAGACAGATACTTAACCTAAGCATTAGACAGATACTTATTCTAAGCATTAGACAAATACTTAATCTAAGCATTAGACAGATACTTAATCTAAGCATTATAGACAGATACTTAACCTTAGCATTAGACAGATAATTAACCTAAGCATTAGACAGATAATTAACCTAAGCATTAGACAGATACTTAAACTAAGCATAAGACAGATACTTAATCAAAGCAATAGACAGATACTTAACCTAAGCATTAAACAGATAATTAACCTTAGCATTAAACAGATATTTAACCTAAGCATTAGACAGATACTTAACCTAAGCATTAGACAGATACTTCAGCATTTAATGGATTCTCAACCTAAGCATAAAAGTTTATTAAACTGATGTTTAATTAAATATTACAATTAATAGATTCAAATTTTAAAATCCTCTTAATTTGTAGATTATTAGTCATTTTGATAGTTCAAAATATATATACATGTATTATGATATGCTTTTAAGTCTGAGGTTAATAGTCAATGCAAAATTACAATAACCTATGTATATCACGTATTGCAGTCTTTTTTTAAGAGAGAGCATCTGTTTAAGATTACTTTTTTCAAGCCTTCCAAACTACTTTCTCTGTTATAACTCCTTCTACAATGCATTCCCTTACTTCTAGAGGGATATCTGGTTTACTTAGAGAGTCTTGTATTTAATGCATGAAGCCATGCTAACGGACACCTGTTATCTCCCGGCTGTTAAGGCAGGTAATCAGATCTTCAGATTCAAGTGTTAGGACAAACATTTAGACATCGGATAGTTACTTAAGTAAGGCGCCTGTCAGGAAGGTGACGAATTGAGCGATTCGTTTGTACATCAATAGATACGCTCTGTACGGAGGTTTGACGTTCAACGTGTGCTGCACTGCTGTATCTTTTTCATATATTTTTTTCTCTGGACTGTAAAGATAATTTAATTAGCTTTCTGTCGGGACTATTGGAGGTTGTCTAATCAAAAAAACATTTAACTAGATTTTATGCTCCCTTGCAGCTGTAAAGGAGTTTTACACAATTTATTTTAATCCTATTTGGCTTAGTCTAAAGGACTCGAAAAGGGACTGAAATATTTGGGTTTGC